ATAAAAACTGCCTGATTGCAGCTAAAATTCCGGTTTGTACACTACCCTTTTGCTGAATTTATATAATTAATGTAAGAAATTGTTGTAAATTGAAAGAAAATTAAATAAGAAAGTATGTTTGTTCCTCATTAACAGAGATAAAAAATGGCTGCTTTAATGCACAAAAAAAATGAAATGTTGAATCGTTGATAGATATTTTCATTGTCCGAGCATATAAAAGCATTACCGAAAAATTAGGATAGTTGAGTTGAGCGGCATTTTTGAGTATAGAGAAGACTAAATTGGTTATTGAACTTCTGGTCATTGATAGCAATAACTAGAACAGAGTCAAAAGTTCATCGTGACCATGAACTTTCCCACTCAGATATCTGAATTTAATAGTTAGATTTGCTGGATGGCTTGGACTTTCTGCTACAAATGTTATTAATTTTTCTTTACTAAAATCGTTACATGACCTCTGTTAATCATGCTGATTTTCAGAAAAAGAATAGCAAGCAGGCCAATAAAGGTTCAGTGAATGTTTCCAAGGTTGCCCCCAGTGTAGTAGTCCAAGTGCACCAGCTTCCAGCTGATTCAAAAACAAACATTGCTCAAGAAACTGCAAATACAGAACTTTGTGGTTTTATGTGTTCTAATCGCCTTATCACAGGTCATGCATCTTGATGCCGAGAAAGAAATGATGTCTCAGTGTGTTGCCTTGCTTGGGAAATTCATTGCTGTTCGTGAGCCAAATATTCAATATCTCAGTTTGGTAAGTTACGGGAACACAACAGTTCTTATCTCATTGATGCAACTTATGTTCAAAGCATGCCAAGTTGTAGTATGCAAATGTCAGAATTTGGAAGGTTTGATCTGGTTGTTTTCATCGGTTGCATGATTTATGGATTGATCTGATGCAGGAGACCCGGATGTTGATGGTCTTAGATGTTCAGGACATTATTAAAAGGCATCAATCACAGATCATCACCTCCTTGAAGGATCCAGATATCAGGTTAGTTTAAGTGCTTTGTAGTTTTTTGGAGATACTTTATGCTTCTTCACCACGAGGCACAATGATCGGTTACATGGTAAACAAAAACAAAAGAGAGACTCAGAGAGGGAGAGTGCTTAAAACTTGATTTCTTTCCAACTTTCTGTTCGTCCTGCTATCTGAATCCTGTTTCATTGTACTTATGTATAGGTGTTGTCAAACCTGGAAACTGGTAGAAACATGCTGAAACACTTAATAGTGAATATAGACTTTAAATTGTATTTATAAATTTCTGCAGAGTAAGTACATCATGCATAATAAAACCTCCTGATATAGTTACAAAAAATGAATCTAATTGGTATTTGGTTGATTGTGGATCTTTAATTAAGCATGCCCTGAAGACTTGGGTATTAAACTTGAAGGCCCAAGATTTGAGGATTTCACCTCAAGTTGCTTTTGTATGCTAACAAGTGTTACACTTACATGAATTTTTATCTTTATCATTGCTTTTATAACTTCAGATATTCGGTTAATATGAAAATGTTACCTATTCATCTATTTTCTTCCATTACAAAGAGATATATTTCATCCCTTCTATTTAATTTTTTTCTATTGCATTTATTTTATGGTTTCTAAGCTCATAAAACTAGGCACATATTTGTGTAATGTTTTCATCATTTGTCATTACAATAAATGAATGATTGGAGCACCATTGCATTTTGGCAACATGACCTGCACAAATTTGTAGCTTTTGGTGCACATGATTTCCCTACCCTGGTGGGAAGGGTATTCTTGATTCCATCACAGTTTTTCAAGGTGATCTCATTTCTAATACATTCAGGCATATCATTCTATGTTAGTTATTTCATATTCTCTCATTTGATGCTAGGGGGAAAAAATATAATTATGTTTTATTTAATTTCGGTTGGATACCAGTGTTTTTTTAGTTGTAGCTTATCTGCTGTTAAGATAACCTGCTCTGCTTATTGTTGTAAATATGTCTTAACTTGTTTTCTCTTGTTTTTTTGGTGACAGGCAAGAAATTTTCGTTTCCACTGTGGCCTTGTATATGTTTCAGAACTAGGGTATGTCTATCATTATCATGTGAATTTAGATTGATGCTTGAATTCTATTCTTATTCAAATCTTGTTACATACTGCATTGGTTGTGCATATATTGGTTAAATTTCTGTGTTTAGTACAAGTCATTTGTGGCAACACGGGAGGCTGTTGTCACCATTTGATATCTAGAGCAGAGAGAACACCTTGAATTTTCTGTTACAATCTCTCATTGGAAATAGTTGTGTACTTACCAATTTCAGATATATGCTTTTTAGAGCTGGAGTTCCTCGGCATGCCATTATGAAAAAGTTTGGAGGTAAGGAAATATCACAACTTGAGGATCTAATTTCTGTACTTACCAATTTTGTTGAAGTTCTTGCTGCTCAGCAAAGCCCAGAGAACCCCAATTGGTTCCAGGTAGTATACAATCTGAACTCTAAACCTTCCAGTCTTATACTGTGCAGCAGCTTTTCATTTCTGTGAGATTCCATTTAAAGTTGACAATTTGTTTGTATACCATTAGTGCCAGCATTTTCTGTGCATTTGATAGATGAGTTATGCACATGCATTAAGATAAAAGTTTAATTGTGTCCTCTTTAATATGCTAGACCAAAATTACCAAGTTTAGATCATCCTGATAATTGAAATTAAATCATTCCTGATTTATCTTGCAAGTGTCCTTAAGAATTGGACTAGTTCGACGAACACCATTTATGTTATTGCAAGTATCAACTATTATGGTTTGATGCAAATATTTGTCAATCTATTGAGTGACCAGTAGTTATTTATTTGGTTTAGACATGTATTTGGAATAGAGTAGTACTAGTAGAGTCAAAATCTGCTTTGTGGAACTAGAGATTGCAAATGGTTCTAGCTAATTTTTAGGAGTTAAGTTTGTGAATCTTTTGGTTCATCAACACAACCTGATGGTCTCTGAATAATGAATTTTCTAGATTCAAACACTAGGATTCAAATTGATTGTTTACAAGCTCTGTCAAATCATATGGTTTGGACCATGAATTAGAAAACACGTGTCCATGTTCCCACATTTTTTTCTACTAGCAGATGTGTTTGATAATTGAGGAATACTAGTTTCTTTTTGGTTTTTAGATCTTTTTAGATTTTAGACTATTACAAAGAGGTTTCTCATTGTTGCTACCAACAGCTAATGAGTAAAGCTTAAGTTCGTTTTGTTTACTAGTCACTTGGTATCTAAGACCAATGAAGATTACAGATTCTGATTTGTGAAGTCACAATTATTATAAACTTATTACTATCTGACAGAAGCATGTTAAAATATTTTTTTTTAACTTTTTCTACAATTTCAAAGCTTCAGAAATGACTAATTTATTTAAATTGTTCTTCCAGGTACAAAACCTTCTTCAACAGATGGTGAGTTGTAATGTACATCTTATGTTTTATAGCTGTAACACTTCTACCATTATTGATTTATGCACTTTACCTAATTTGGCTTCCATATTTTGATACAGACATCCAGACCAGTGAAGATTACAGATTCTATGCTCTATCAACTGGGTTCAGTGAATTGAGTATCTGAGTATCAAGGACAAGACATTAAATTAAATCAAAACTCAGGGGGTTTGTCTTAATGTTTTTCCTGTTATTTTTTGGCGAATGTTAAAACATAATTTGTGGATATGCTATTTTGTAGTTAAATGGTAATTGTATATTAAATTGAATAGGAAAGTAAATTAATGTTGTATTTGCTACTTGGCAGCTTTTCATATAATTGGTTTACCTTTTGACAAATGTTCATTTGAATGGGAACGGGAATTATTGATTCATATTAGTACTATTTTTCAATTTTATTACAGGTATTTTTTGGTAGCATTGTGCTTTGCCCTAGAAAAATTCCTCTGAAAATGGCTTCGATTTTCTTCGATTTAGGGCTTGTGATCTTCACTACACACACTGCAACAGTTACTAATTGGAATTTTGGAACTTAAAATATATATCCGGCTCAGAAAACACTTTATCTTGAAGCTGAATGGAATGGAAATTGAGATGGGTAAATAAGCAACTTTTTAGTTGGAAGAAAGTACCAATTCAACATTTAGTGACCTTGTTTGCTTACTCTAGGCAAGAAATGGTTTTAACTGGTATGGTACTAATCAAAATTTGAAGAGTTCCATGGGTGGAAATAATAACATGGACATGGAGTCATGGAGAAAATGACTCGTGCATTCAACACTAGTAAATAGGGAACAGAATCCAACATTTGATGCATCCCAAAATATTTATTGAATTCAACTCAAAAAAAAATCCAAATAGATAGCATACCCTGTCTTCTTGAACCAATATATTCACTATTTAAAAGTAAATAAAAGATTGGTGCAATTATTTTATAACATAACTTATAAATTATATTTAGAAGATTGCCGGACATTGTGCACTATCTACTAAAATCATATACTTAGCAGCTGAATTGAAGTTCAAGATCATTTGATATACTAAATGGTAAGGGCATAATTGTTAAAGGGACACACCTAGTCCCCAAAAGGCTTAAGGCTTGTGATCTTCACTACACACTGCTTTTCAATACTCATTGACTTCATGGATTGTCTTCGGCCTAGAGACCGAAAGGTCTTCTCTGGCTTCACTACAACAGAGGTTATATATATATATATATATATATATGTTTTGAGCTATTTTTTCATTCGTTTCCTTTATGTAGATCTTATTTACTGAAATTCAAAGTTTGTTTCAGTATTACAGTCTATTGATTCGATGATAAAATGTTGTGGGAGAGTTATATCAACTGTTAAGTTTGATGCATTACTAGTTTTCGTGTTATGCATTGCAAAACACTGCTTTTCAATACTCATTGACTTCATGGATTGTCTTCGGCCTAGAGACCGAAAGGTCTTCTCTGGCTTCACTATAGCAGAGGTTATATATATATATATATATATATATGTTTTGAGCTATTTTTTCATTCGTTTCCTTTATGTAGATCTTATTTACTGAAATTCAAAGTTTGTTTCAGTATTACGGTCTATTGATTCGATGATAAAATGTTGTGGAAGAGTTATATCAACTGTTAAGTTTGATGCATTACTAGCTTTCGTGTTATGCATTGCAAAAAAAGCGAGCTTAGTAATGAATATTTCACCAAAGTGTTACTATATATATATATATATTTCATCAAATGAATATTTAATTTTGGAAGTAGTCAAAATTGAGATGTTGAGAATTTGGAAATTGATTTGATAGACATTTAAAGCCTGTTGTGGAATAAACTTCAGTTGTCCTTGATGTTCACAGCTTTTATGTTTACCCTCTAGGCCATGGTCTGTTGAGGAAGAAAAGAAACAAGTTAGAAACGCCATTTGCTAGAAAACTAACAGCCTTTATCTCTATGCGTGCTTGTCTTGGTGTACTTTAACCAGAAGCTTACTGATGTAGGAATAGCTAATGTTCTTATAGTACGTAATTAAGTTTTCATGGTCTAACCAAATTTTCATGTTTTTCTTGAAATTATTGGTTGTGCTGGTGAGAGCGATAGAGGAAAGAGACCCATGGTGACGAAGATTGCAGCAGATAAAAGTGATGTGAGAATCTTGACATCTGACAATCCGATGAATGAAGATCCTTGTATGTATTGCAAACCGTACTGTATGAAGGAAATATGCCACCACCAAAGTTGAAATATAATTAGTTTAAAACATGCTTGTCTATGGTTGATTATATATATATATATAATTCCATGACAAGGTCCTAATTCTTATTATGGAAAAGAACAATCTTTCCACTGTTTCTCGAGGTGAGAGACTAGTGTACTCGTATGATCGATGGATGTTTCCCCTAATGCCTCAGTTGTAGGAAAAGCTCAAAGAGCATTACTAATTCCTGGTTGTTTCATCTTCGCCAGTGGACATATTGGATGACATGTTGGCTGGTGTAGGATGGACTATGCAGGCGTATTTGAAACATGGAGAGAATGATTACTATCCACCTCTTCCTAATGGGCACAAACTTTTCTTGCATGATATAAGACGGGTAGCTGTACGTGCAGATGTTACTATGGGTGAGGAAGGCGATATGGTTGTAAGTCTTTGAGACCCCATTCTGCTTTTCTTACCAGTTAATTTATCAATTCATATTTAGTGCCATAAAATTTGGGGGTAAAAGTCACTCAAAACTAATGGGGATAGAAACACATTGATTTGTGAAAGAGAAAATTAGAATATGTCATCTTAAACAATTCTATTACTTAAATGATAGAAATGAGTTTATTCTTGAACTTTTCAATAGAGATGCATAAGGCGTTTTGTTGTTCTAATACGACAACAAACTAAATTCTATTTGTTTCCCTCTGTAGCTTTTGGTGACTGTTAAAGAGTTTGGGATGTAATGGGACAACTTTGTTCCCTTGTCTTCCCCATGTTTGATGCCATTAATGGACAATAATAACTTGCCTATCCATGCACTATTAATTGTTTATTTTGTGTTCCCTTTTTATGTGCAGTTGGTTACAGGAAAAGGCCATGAAACATACCAGATAGAAGGTGATAAAAAAGAGTTCTTTGATGACCGTGAGGAGTGTAGAGAAGCGTTGTAGCATGTTGATGAGCTTCACCAAGCTGGAATTGACACGAGTGAATTCCCATGGCAGTAAGTTTTCTCTCTCTTATATTGCTTGCCAAGAGATTTTTGAGTCTCAATTACTGGTATACCGAAAAGAACCACTTGTTCTTGTGAGTAGCTCTATGTAGTGCAAAAAGAACAGATTTGATGCTTAACATGCTTGGATTGTCATGAACTTGAATTTAAAATAATAGTTCATGAACTTGAATATTAACATCTTAATGTATATTAATTGGCAGAATACTGATTTTCCAATAATAGAATAACCATTACTGTGCACAAGTATTTGATTGTACCTACTGATTTTAAAATTTAAAATATCAAACTATAGATATGTCGAAATAGTACTTTCATTGAAAAACTATTTCTATGATTGTGTCCAGATAAACCACCCTGTTTTTTACCATTCTGAAATATCATTGAAAATGCAAAGTTTTTACATTATTATTATCATATTTTTGTGTAACAATCATGAAAAATCTTTAGTTAGGTCAGATGAGGGTAGCTATATAATCATTAATTCTCATGTAATCTTCTAGTTAGTTTCCTTGTTTTTCTATTCAGTCATTTTAATTTTGACATTTGTAGATCTAGGGGGGTTATGTTTGATATAATTTTTTTGTAGGTACGGAACAACTCAGGATTGAGGCAAAAGAGGCAAAGTTTCGATCTTGATGAGCTATTAGGAAGCTCAACTTCCTGGCCTCCTGTCACTAGTCCTGGTCAGAATTTTGGGGAGGACGATAGAGAAACAGGCTTAGGTGAGTGGGTAGATAAGGTCATGGTGAACAAGCAAGAAGCTCATGGAGTTCACAACCCTTTAGGACGTTGGGATGCAGACGATGGACACATGTCTGATGTATTTTGGGGGTAATGTTAAAACATCATTTGTGAATATGTTATTTTGTGGATAATGATGATTGGATATTAAACTAAATGGGAAAGTGAACTAATGTTGCATTTGCTATTTGAATGGGAGTTGTTATTTCATATTAAGGCTATGTAGTTTTATTATAGGTATTTTTTTAGTTTAATCATATAAAATTAGCACAATTTAAAAATAAATTAAAAAAAAAAAAGATATCACGGCATTTTTCAAAACGTCACTTAAACACTAAATCTAACGATCAAATTTTTTAAAAAAGATGACAGCGTTTCAAAAACGTCACTAAATATCATAGTGACGTCATGGTACTGTTAAGTAGGACATTTTAATAACGCCGCCTATACTAATATAACGACGTTTTTAAAATGCCATCAAGCTATGGCGACGGGCGATTTCGATGTTTGGTACTAAACGTTACAAAAAGAATTAGCAGCGTTTTTTTTGTACCTATAGTGGCATTTTTAAACGTCGCTAAATGCTGATTTTCCAACAATGAGCGGAACGAATTTAAGATTCAAATTTTGAAGGAGCGCTTGTAATTTTTTATCGAAAAAATTATGGGTAAACTACCAATAAATCATAATAGTTAGACTTAATTTTTATCAAATTCTATTGAAAATAAGTCTTGGTAAAATTGTCGCTAAAAATAATTTTTTGTGACAAATTTTTATATACGTCGCTAAAAATTAACAATTAGTGACTTTTTTTTGTCATGATTTTTAAAAATTGTCGCTAAAATTTACAATTAGTGACTTTTTTTATGACAATTTTTTTCTATAGGACCTATTAGACAATAAGTCCACTTATTAAGACCTACACGTAAGTACCCCAAAAATTATTATAAAATTTTAAATTTTGATTTATACCAACACAAAAAATATGAATAAAATTATTATTAATTAGATATTCTTTCTCAATATAATTGAGAATAAAAATATAATCGGACATATTTTTTTGTCAACGTTAATTAACAAAAATAGTAATTATTATTATGTCTCATTTTCGTCTATTAAAGTTACCTATCTGAAAATGTTAAAATCGCCACTATTTACATATAAAAAATCTATAATAGGCTCAATATCAAAACCTTATGTTCTATTTTTCTCAATAAATGTGATCGATCAACTTATCTAAAAATTATCTTCTATCCTATAACACAATTTACTTTTGAAATTTTTCATAATTAAAAATATATTATTTTTTATGAGTAAAATGATAATGCATTTCAATAAGTAGTATTATATTTTATAAACTCATTTTCAAGAATATGTTGAATGTAAACAATACTCATTTCCGGAGAATATTCATGTTTCTAAAGAATGAATGAATGCAAGATAAAGTGCATAAGCAAATGAAAAATGTTTCATACCACTAATTCAACATCATTAATGCACCACTAATGACATGACATCATGTGAACCCCACCATTGATGTGATAGTTAGGCCTTTGTTTTTTTTTTTTTTTTTGTTGTTTGTTTGTTTGTTTGTTTTTTTTTTTCTCCTTGCACTTGCTAACTCATGAGTGATGCTTTTAGAGCTTCCAATTTAGTGTTCTAAATCGGTACTGTAAGCAAATTAAAGTGTGATTTATAAAAAGCAGAAAAAAAAAATGATGAAAAAACAAGAATAGTAACAAATAAAATAATAAAAGAAACTTTAAATCATACAAAAATATAACAAGCAATAAAGATATAAAATAGAATAGATCAATATTTGATAAAACTCAGTTTAAAAATTATTTTTAAAATTTTGTAATGTTAATAATTTGGGGGTTCCAATCTTTATAATTCTGAGGGTGCAACCTATTGAAATTTTAAGGGTACGAAATATTTTAATTTAAAATTATTTTACTAATTACTAATATAATATAGATAAGATTTAAATAATTTCGGGTGGGATACAATAATTTGGGGTGGGATACATTTTGATCTTACAACGATCATCCCATGATTAAGTTGCAGCTTCAACTACAGACTTGGACCAGTGGATAAGGCTTTGATGCTTCTCCAACTCATATGGTGCTTGAATTTCATTGTGGTTAGGGTTTTGCCTTTTTTGTTAGCTTGTTTTTGTTTTTGTTGACTTTTTTTATAAAATTTTTAGAAAGTTTTAGGCTTTTATTTTAATTAATGATACGAACTGGAAAATTAAAAATAATAATATAAATTCTTTAAAAAATCCAGAAAAGAAAAGAAAGAAAGAAAGAAAGAAAAAAAAAACCAAAATAGTAGATTTTTTGGCTTACTTTGCCTTTTTTCTTTTTAATTTTTGAAAAGTTTTTCAAAAAAAAAAATAATTACAGTTTAGATTGGTCTACACAAGATGAACCAAAAAAAAAAAGTAAAAAATTTGACATAATTTTGAAAAAGATCACTAAAGATAAAAAAAAAAAAAATTGGGAACAAATGTAGCTCATAAAGTTCCTGGGTAAAATTTTTCAATATCACCCACAAAAAAATGTTTAAAAAGAAAAAATAAAAATTTGTAGTTTGTATCCTCTCCAATTTTTGTCATTGCCTTTCACAATTCTTTTAATGGCTAACAATTGTTCAAAAATAAATAACTAAAATAAATATAAAAAAATACGCACATACTCTATTAAACTGATTATTTTAAAGTTGTGGAAGAGGTGTTTTTACTTTTTTTACTTTCTGATTATTAGTTTTCCCCTTATAATAAATTACACCAAAGAGAGTCTATCTCACAACAAGAATAAAAAAGAAAAGGTCTGGATTGTCTTTAGTATGGACCTCTTAGTTCACCCCAATGTGAACTCATTTTGGACTTATTTCGACAATCTAAACCATTTATTTTGTAGAGCCTTTCAACAAAATCATCAATACCAAAACTCATGCTGATCAGTCTTCATTTAACACTTGATCGGATCACATTTCTCTAAAAAATAATTAATGAATAATTTGAGTTTGAAAGTAGTACGTCTATTTTTTTTTTCCTACCAAAATGATCTGATCCATTGACTGCTGATATCTGATCAAGCTGATTGTTGTTATGGATGATCTTCGTGGAGGGCCCTACAAAACTAAATCATATTGATTGTCAAGATGGATCCAAAATGGGCTTACAATTGGCTGAACTGGACGGTCCAGTTCGCTTCGAAGTAGAGACAATTCGGTCACAAAAAAATATATATATATGGAACTAAAGAGTGAAAAATAGTTGAATATGACATTGACATGAGAAATCATTTGAAGAGGCACAACAATTTAATACCATAAATATGGAACGAAAAACTACATGTATTTAGACGATTAGTTCGAGTGAAAGTATGTTTAGAACAATTTTGAATTTTTATAAACTATAGAAACCAATTGAACTCAATGTGACACTAATCTTTAAAAAATAAGAAAAAAAAAAATCTCTTTTATGGATTGTCAAAGGTGGTGTGCACTTAGAACCGTGCTCATCAGAGTTGATGGTCGAAAATTATTCTCTCAAATTTTGAGCTCAACAAGTTCTCTAATAGTTTTTGTTGTTGGTTTTTTTAAATTTTTATTTTTTTATTTTATATATATATATATATATATATTATGCTTTTGGCGCACAAGAAATTGATTTTGATTAAGTGGTAGAAAAATGACACATTGGAGTGTCCAACAATTTTTTTGTTTTGGGTGAATAGTCCAACAATTTTTTTCCCGCAAGGAGCCAAAAAAACACCGAAAGAGGCCAACCTTGTTAATGTTGCTCGTTGAACTTTAATTACCATCGTCTTTTTAAAAACGATTAAAAGAAAAGAATTAGCTTTGGATGTATCAATCTTCATCCAATGGAACGAAGGTGCAAATGGATCCACTGAACTTGGGAAATGTTAGGTCTCTCAGAAACTATGAAGCGAAGTCTCCCATCAAAAGAAAAGAAAACCCAATCCAAAACAAGAACACTACCCCAAATTTGATATGACTGAACACCTGTTCTAAAATCAAGAACCCATATGTCGATTCCAACACATAACAAATAAGCAGGCAATGCAAACACCCCTGTGGGGGTAAAGTTACCATGTACTACCTTCTAAAAAAGATCTAGAGTTTCTCTATGCAAATAAAGGCATCACGACAATCTGAAATGGGAGAGTATCATGTCCTAATTTTGAAAGGTTCTAGAGCTTCACCATATGCATGGGTAGACTTAAGTCAAAAGGGTGCCTAGGCTATGGCCACCTATATGCCTTTCATATCCTTGCAAAGAACAACGAGATGATAAAAAAGGGTATGTGGTGGCCAAAATCTGAGGATTGTATTCCGAATTTAACATAGCCCATGACCTACAAGCCATCCATGATATCAAACAGCGAACGTGGGGCTAAAGCTAACCTTGAATGATGCAAATGCAATGAACAATATATAAGTCAATAAATTTGATACCAAAACTTTTAAGTCGAACTCTTTATTATCCCCATCAGAGTCACCAAAAACTATGGGATGATAGAAATCTAGGGTACCCAACATCGTGCCCTCCCATTTTGTTCACAAACATGATAGGTTGGTAGATTTTATTTGAATTTTCTAAATTTAAACCCTCATTGTGACCAAAAACACCATCTTGTATCTTTGTCTGCGGAAAACCTTGTCACCCTCAAGTTAGCCCGCGACTTGTTTCGTGGCGCCCGCGACTGTGTCATTCGTGCCTGCGATGGTCCAATTATAAAAATCCAAAGTGCAAAAAGCCAACTTTTCTGCACTTTCTCTCTCTTTCTCTCTCATGGCCGCCATTTGCAAGTTCTCAAGCTGTTAAACCCTTAGATCCATCAACTTAGGGTCAAAATCTCACCCTAGTTCTTTATACCAAAACATAAGGTGTGATGAGAGCTTCTTTTTTAGCCGATTAGTATGTGATTTCGCAGACATTGATTTTTTGAGTTTCTCCTCTTCACTTTAAGAGGTAGGGATTTCTTTGTTTCTTTTCAATACATCTTATAGATAGATATATGGTAGTTTTTATTGCATGAAAAATATGATTTTTATAAGAAATTTTTGAAATGCATATAGATGGGAGTTAGGATTTTGAATTATATATAAGGGTTTAATCTTATGTTTTATGGTTGATTATGGAAATTTTGAGCTAATAGA